CCACAAGCACCCAGCCTGGGAGACAAATGAAAAGAACTGGAAGACAAATGAAAAGAAGTGGGAGACAAATGAAAGGAAGTGGGAGACAAGCCAGCCGGGAACCCGACCACAAGCACCCAGCCTGGGAAACAAATGAAAAGAACTGGGAGACAAATGAAAAGAAGTGGGAGACAAATGAAAGGAAGTGGGAGACAAGCCAGCCGCGAACCCGACCACAAGCACCGAGCTTGGGAGACAAATGAAAAGAACTGGGAGACAAATAAAGGGAAGTGGGAGACAAGCCGGCCGGGAACCCGACCAGACCATCCAGCAACCAGGCGACCATTCTTTAAAGCATTGAGAACCCCTAACAGTAAACTGTTTGGGGAAATAGAACAGGAGTAATTGGGTTAGGGTGTCCTGCTTGATTCCTTCTCCAAAGCTTCAGGCTTCAGATACTTGCTCTCATCTTCCTCTCGAGTGACTCTAATGCGGCCTTGAGCTGTCAAGGAGCGGTGCCAAGTCACCATTCTCCAACATTTGCTCCCTGCTATTGATTCCCCAACCATGCTCCATCAACCTTCCATAACAAAGTATGGGTTGGTTCACCTTTGACCTGAAGGTCGCATTCTCTCTGAGAAGAACTTTTCGTCCATGGAGGTCATGCAAGGACATTTCAACACTTTTCGCACCTCCTGTGGGAATACGATTTCATTGTGCATCTTGTAGCTGGGTCTTTGCGCTGAATTCCAACTCTCCTTCCCCATGACCTGCCATACTCGCAGGGAATAATGCTACATCAGCTCCACTGTCAATAATGATGGCCACACCCTCATTCTCTTCCAAGTCTCCTCACCATGCGATCATCATCTGAGATGTCAATCTCCTCAACTTCCTGGAACTCTGGCTCACCATCATTACCATCATCTCGAATGTAGAAGTGACTTGCTCGAATTCCATGATCTTCTAGCTCATCATCCTTTTCTCGCAGCTCAAAGATGATTGGCTCACTGTTCTCAATTCTTCTGACCACCGGTTTGGTCCCTGCTGGGCTACCCTGCTGACTGACATTGGCATGTTGTTGACCAACTGTATGGGTAGTCACTGATCCTCCTCCTGAAGATGAATGTGCCTGATCCCTTGCTACCTGTCGAATATTGTTCCTCCAACAGTCTTTAGCAAGATGTCCTGGCTTTCCACGAGTGTAACACGTTGCCACACCTTTGCCTTTCTGGCGCTTGCCTTTACCTGTGCCCTTGTGATCACCTTGTTCTCCTTTCTGATCTCCTTTCCCTTTATTTTCTTTGCCCTTGGAACCTTTACCTTTACCCTTTTGATGGTCATTCTTGCCCTTCTTACCTTTCCCCATGGCATCTTGGACTCGGTCAGTGTCCATTGGCATAGGTCCTTGATAGTCTGCACTGCTACTAGCCACCATGGACAGTAGCCCACTTCTACTGAGAGCGCTCCCATTGCAACACTTGTTCCCCCAAAGTTGAGTATTGAACATTGTCGCCGATTGTCAAGTTCAAGTAGGATTTGAGCTGTCCTTCTACACACCTCCAAAGAATAGCAGATTTCAACACTTCCTGAATTCTAGTCCCTGCCTTGACGGTCTCATCAAATACTTCTTCAAGCTTCAAGAGTTGAGGTTGCAGTGCACTGTTCATTGAAAAAGCTGGCCATGTAGTAGCTGCTCCGAAGAGTGCCAAGCCTCTTGCCTTCGAAGTTGGCTTCAAAGCTTTCTTCAAACTCCACCAGGCATCAAAACCCATTCGAGTCCTCCACAGCTTTCACCAATTGCAGCGCCCTTCCTCTCATCAATGAAGCTAACACAAGCTAACAACCCATAAAGCTTGATGCACCTGGTCTTATCCTGTGAAGTTGCCAAGTCCCAATCAAAGCTCTCATTTGGTTTCTCATGAATTTCCTTGAAGTCCTTCATTTAGCCCTCATTCACTGCACTCACTCTATGGCTCGGAATCGCACCCGGGATCCCAGTGACCTAGGGGCTTTTCCACTGGAGCTCAAAGGTGGATACCCTTATCCCTGCCCCGCTACCATACGCACCTTTCTTGATTCACAAAAGGGCTGCGCAGTGCTGTCATGCATACTTCATGATGCTGGCTATGCTGTGCATCTCTACTGTGGTCTGTATGGAAAATGGTTCAAAATAAATTGTGGTTCATCACAACTCCTTCTTACTGAAACGCAATTCTCGGCTAAAACTATTACTTTCGCGAGCTCCATGTTTAACTTTCGCGGGAGCACCGTAATCTATCCGTACGTGACAAAGCTCTACTACCCGTCCCGTGGCTCGCTCACCTAGCTCGGCCAAACAGCACAAAAACAGTTTGCAAACACTTCACTGCACTCTCGTGTGAAACATTGCATACATAGAGTAGCTGTTGTCATCCTATTGTCATGCTCATGTCTTGCTGCTAGGCCTCTGCTTAGCTTTCAGAACAATGCGGTGTGGAATCAGTCCCTGGCTACATGTGAGCAGCATGGGTCCACAAAAAAGGCTTTCACATTCGCCAATGCTTTCGCGGAACTATCGCCGAAAAATGTCGCGTCATTAGTGGGTTTCAGCTATAGGGATGTTGCATGGTAAGTGTGAGCCGTGCAATGTGCAAAGGAATACATAACATAACTTTGTATGTGGGTCAAGCTCCTCCGAGTGAAGGACGTATAAAGTAAATCATCTTAATATAGAGTAAAATTGTATAAAATCGCATCTTTCGCAAAAAATATATCTACTCCCGCGAACTCGGAAAAACGTTTGCGAACAACATAATCAACATAAAGAGGCTCTTGATGACATAGGCCTCAATATGCCTTAATGTCGATCTTTCAATCAACTACTATAATATACAGGCCAATGCCCTGTTCTTTGTCGCTGGTTGAGAACGTCCTGTTTGTCTGAGGACCAAGCCCATTTTCCTTGCCGCTTATAACGGAGAAGCCCACACGCAAGTGGAGCTATAAGTGGTGCGTGCCCCTCAAACGTCGAGGCCATCGGTTGCTGAACTTGTTGGAGCGAAGTAAGTGAAACCACAAGACAGCAATTGGGCGGTGTCATGCAACATTTACTTGCTGTAGTGGGCGAAGGCCTGATGATTTGACTCGGGGGTGGAGCGCATGCTACGTCGACTCAACCACAAAGGCACTTCAGTGAAACTTCAGGCTGCAACCCGTAAAATGCCAAGACGGCCTTCCAATCCTGGCCTCGCAGCTCTAAAGTGTCAAGCCTGTTGCTGCAGGGTGTGAAAACTGAGAGAAGGACAAAGACACTTCTGAAACCACGGTCTTGAGCTGCATGCCTCAGGCAAAGAACGCGGGTCCATATCAAAGAATCATGGCAACTTCAATCAGCTCAACTCCATGGGGCCTTCTATCGTCAAGACCTGCATCATTGTGCACCACAACTTCCACAAAACCCTTGCTTGCACCATCATGTTTCAACCACATGCTTTGTGTTCGAAGGCATTGGGCTGCCTTCATCAATATCCGGTCAACTGTGACGGGTTCTCCTGACTGTCATCCCGCAGCGCTCACAGCATTGCATGAAACAGCAAAGTAATGATTGATTGCTGCCTACATCACCTGCCCTGAAGCCAACTCGCCATAAACATTAAAACTTCAAACCAACTCCAACAAGTTCGCGTCCTGGAATGTCCGTTCCGCCGGAAACCACAGCAAATGACTCTTGCCACCTGTCCAAGCTCATGGGGCCAAGGCATGTAGTAACTTGTGCTCGTTAGGCCAATCGTTGCACAAACCTTCTCCAAACATCTTTAACAACTTATCAGTAAAGCTTTCCACATTCTATTCAAGACAACTTTGGCCAGCTGAACCAGTGGCGGAGCAATGACATGTTGGGGAACATGGAAAAAGCACCGTCGGCTGTGGAAACTGATGCTGTTGCTGTTGTTCTGCCCGCCTAAAAGCTTCGAGCATCGCTTAGGACGAGCTGAATGTGGGCTGATCTTGAGTACCCTTTTCCACACTTTTTTGAGCAAAGGGATGCACGGGGATATATAACTTCTGCTTGGCACAGCGACCAGTGCGCTGATCCAGTGGTTGAACCAGCAAGTGCAGTTCTTCGCCATCCTTGGTTTGGTCATGGATGAAACCCAAATTGGCTGTCCTTTGGCCTGACAGGTTTTGCAATGTTTTGTAAACCCTTTTGTAGCTGCTCACTCCAAGGACTCCAAGGCCACGATGCGAACAAACTATACCCAAGGCATGCGAAAAACAGCTTCGTGCCTGAAGGCAGCGAACACCAGGACCAAAATCCGCAGAAACAATCGCTCCCTGCCAACTCGACTGGGCAAACATGAATATTGTCTGAAGTTACTTACCTTGGAAGACTCATTCTCCATGTCACAACATGCCTCATTATATAATTGTTTAGGACTCTCAACTTGGAGGAAGAATAGAGCATTGCAAGCTCTGAGAGCCTGAATGCATTTTCTCAAGACTTTGAGAATCTGCAAAGCGTTTTTGGAGGGTTTGTATGGGGCTAGCGCCTGCTTCCAGCCTTCTGGGAACAGAGCCACGAAGACATTGCAAAGTTGCAACATGTAACAAAAAACGGTATGCTCCGCAAGTATGGATGTATGTGCGGGCCCTTGTGGAGTCTTGGCCACGTCTGGCAAAAGCCTGTGCCTAGAACAACACTACCACATTCATTTCAAGCAACTTTTTTGAGCCAGCATCTGGCACTATACAAAGCAGCTGCTTTGTTAATGGGCTGCGGCTGGTTGAAGCTTTGGACATGAGGCTTGGCCACATTCATCTGATCATTTGTTGCTTGCTGGAGTCTGACCAGGGCTTGCATACAGAGCGGTGCTAAAGCCTCACTCAGCCCCGAGCTTTCTGCAATGCTGTAATTATGTAACTGAAACACTGCAGCACACATGACAGAAATTGAACACGCTTAAAATCGAGCAGGTAGGCCTTGACCGTGACTCAAGCGCATCAGCATCAATCCGGAAAGAGTCTTTTTCCTATGCTGGTCATCGCACACCACAAAAGTATGCGTTGGCACAAATATCTGCGCCACTTGGATTTCCACCAGGCTCAATCTTGCACTGGGTGGCACGGCCTACCCGCCAAACATAGCCGTCACATTTCTCAATTGGCTGCAACGAACAGTCATCGTCATCCTTTCCCAGCTGCTCTCCAGCACATTCTGGCAAGCAATTGGGTCCACTCTGACAATGGACGTCAGAATCTGGTTGATACTGGCATTGAAGAAAGCCTCTCTTTGCCCCAAAGCACCTGGAAGCGCGGAATTTAACAGCTTGCACGAAAGAAGCCTGCTCTATCTTTATGCTGCTGTACTTCAGTCACTACAAACCTAAAGACACACACACACACAGCCATCAGGCTACTTGCCCACCCTGTCTGCTGTGTCTGCTACTTGCAGGTGACACCGAACTGGACCTCCTTATATATATATATATATATACAGTATATACACTTACAACTTGCAGAATGCGGAGAGCAAATCTTGGAATCAGTTCAACATCGAGTTGGTTCAAGAATGTCTTCGTGGACACTCCAAAACACCGCAATGTCACAGCATGTCCAGCCTGTGGAAGCCGGTGCAATCAGATTTGCCAGAGCAGGGGTCAACTTGAGCTTTTTCCTTTGAGCACCTTAGGACATTGTGACAAAGCTACACTAAAGATCTGTTCTCTTGACAAAGGAGTCCTGCAAGAATTTGTTCTTCAGGATGTCAGTTCTTACAGACTCCTCATCCAAATCCAAGCGTCTCAGTCTGCTCGCTCCCTCGACAGCATGTTGGACAAGTTTGGCTCGGAGGAGATTTTGTCTTGGATTCCCATGCCCTTAGCGGACAGCCAGGATTTGCAAGTCCAAGGAGAGTAGATATATATATATATAGTGTTCTGTTCAAAAACCCTAATCTCATCATGTCAACGTGTGTGTGTGTGGCATTATAGTCATTGTCCAGTCCTCTGGCCAAGGCTCTGCGCATCTCGTGGAAGCATCTCCTTAAGGCGTTGCCGGGTTCAGCGTAATCAACACTCACAAAGTCTGTGTCCAAGATCCCTAGCTGTATTGCAGGAGCTAAGCAGCTAGTGAGGAACAAGGATGACATTTGGACAAAAAGGCGATCGAGCGTCTTCTGAACTTGGCCTTGCCGTCAGACTGCTTTCAGGCTCATTCCCTTGAGTGAGCGCACTCTGCAAGGTCTGCTCAGAGATTGAAGCGCTTTCGGCAGGCAAATTGGAACCCATGCCAGCATAGTCACCAAACTCGAATTTGGTCTCCGCATTTCCGATAAACTCACGGCCAAGTGTGGTGGGGGCTGAGCTCAAGACCAAACCTCCAATCCACCATAACATGAGCGAAATATGGACAATTGCATTTAACTTGATCACGCAATGGCTTCAAGCTTTGACAGTTTCTGCTGCCAGTCAAGCTAATGTTGATTGCAAGCAAGGAATGTCCAGAAATATGTCTGAAAAAGCCTCCTTGAAAATACATGGCCAAATCCAAAGCGAGCATTCCGAAACTTGAGAATTGCCACGTAACGGCACTGCAATTTGAAAGTAGCAGTAAAATACATATATACATGTACGTATATGGGATCTAGTCCTGATTGAAACATCTTTTTGGCCAAGAATGCCAAATCAAAGCAAGTACACTCCATGCCTATGTGCCTCACTCAAGTGAAGATGATGAAAGGTATCATCATGACAAACAAAACGACCTGGGCAAGCGTACAGGTTGTTCCAACACTTTCAGTGAAGCAGCCAAGGTTTGTGCGCTGATGGCAACTAAGATCATGGTGCCTTATATACGCAATTGTGCAGAGTTGGGCAAAGTGAAACAACAAACAAAACCACGTTGCAAAATGGTTTGACAGCAATTGAATGGGAAGCTCTTGGATCCCATTGCCAGGTGGGGCACATAAGAAACTCATCTGTCCAGACCGCAGCAGTCTTTTGCCACTCTCCGTATGGGCACTGACGTTGTCAAGACCTTCGCCAAATTAAGCACACTACTCGGCAATGTTCGTGTTGCGTTTAGCATGCAAGTTTGATGCAGGTGATGAATGGCCATCAAAGCAAGGGTCTCATCTGCTTTGCATTATTTGTCCAAAGCTGCCCAAGGCCGCAAATCATTCAACTGTGTTTCTGTTGCTCCTTTCGCGCTTCTTTCCTCCTCATTAATGATGTGAAGGGGAACTTCCCCAACTATATATTGGTTGGTTGGCACAAAATTGTAAGGAACTTGCATGTCCAATAGGCTCAACAAGTCAAACTCCTAGTTTGTGATCGTGGGTTTTCCTCTATCTGATATACTATCTTCCTGATTACATACGAACTCCTTTGGTTGAGGTGCAAGGGATCTGCCTTGGCATTCCTGGGTTTCAGTTGTGGCTCTTCACATTTGCCAATGACCGATGGCCTTGCAAATATTGGATCAACCTTTCTGATGAGAAAACCAAACATTATTTCTAATAGAAACAACACAACGGAATGCATCTTGAACCTTGAATGTGACTTGTTCTGGTGAGTCAGTACAAGGGGGGTCAGGTGTCAGAAACGCAAGTTCATAGCACATTCACACAATGTGTCTCTCTCTCTCTCTGAGGGTGTAGCTTCGTTGTTGGGCGGATTGCATATCCTGAACAATCCGATCACTTGCTTCTCAGTTTCACACCACATAATTATACATATATAATACATGTCACTCCTCAATGCCATGAACCACAAACTAAATCAATGCCTCTAAGCGGTCGTTGTCTTTCTTCAAAGTCTGGAGGAAAGCATTTGCCGCTCCTTTTCAAGACTATGTGCATGCTGAGGCATGCTGCATGTTGCAATACTGTAAAGGGAAACAGAAACGAAGCAGGATGCTGGCCTTTCATGTTTTCGGCCAAGTCAACCATTTCTGTTTCCAGGTTGCTGCGGGCCTGTCAAAGGACAACAACTCATCCGTTGAACACAACCCTAGAAATCTGGGGTCGCCTCACCCCGCGCAAGAATTGGCCTTGTTCGAACACTGCAATGGTTTCTGGGGCGGCTCAAATTACGACAAACAAAGCGCTGAATCTGGCCCAAACATTTCCAAGGTGCCAACTTAGTTTTCAAATTCGTACCTGCAAATTTCGTGTCACGTTAAACGAATACCCAACAACATCAATGGATGCAACCACCACCTGCCTTCAGTTCGAGGTAAACATTGCCTTGGGAAAACCATGAAACAATTATGCGAGATCGGAGTCCGGAATTGTACATTTTTGCGCAGGAAGTTCACAACATAGGTGTAACTGTAACTAGGGTGTCAACACGTTTTGTGGCTGTATTGCGATCCTCCTGTCCTGCAAAGCGAACTTGAAAAGGTCAAGTTACATGATAACCTCATCAAGATTGGCTTCAGCCGTCCTTTGACGCATAGCGTGCACGCGCCTCTTCAGGATCCTGTCCAATTTGAAGGTTTGTTCCCCTTGCAGTCAATCCCAAAATGTTGTGCCTGCTGGATGTCTCCATCATTGAAGTCATTTGTCTTTACATTGTCCTGAGGATACTCCGGAAACCTGAGCACCCAACTCAAAGGACCGCGTGTTCATCAAAATTTGTCCAAGGTTCATGCTGACGAGCTGTCAACACGTTGCCTCAATGGGAATTTGTAGTTCGCCCTACCCCCCCCCCCTTTGCACTTGAGAAAGCGGCTCAGCCGCTCAATTCTTGCACTGTACTGTTCTGCCAAGGGTTTTGGCAAAAGCTCCCAGCGCCTCATTTTCACCGTCAACGTTGCGTCATGATGTCAGGTTGCTGACATGGATGATTCCAGACTATTCCACACTCAGGTATGAACTCCAATCGGCTTCTCAAAGCAGCTTCATATGAAACAACCTCCGCCAAGAAAGGCGACTGCATCCGTTTTGTGTTCTGCAGTGATTTCAATCGTAGGGCACCTTTGCCTTGCGAACGGTTGGGTCGCAATCTTCCTGAACTGTGCGCTTGAACAAGACTTTTGGCATCAGAAAAGGCACTTGCTCGAGCCTGCAATTGATTTGAATGAAGGGCGGCCTCTACATGGGCAAAAACCAGCAGGAACCTCGGAAGGGGGACAAGAAAGGCTTGGAATTTCTTTTTGGTGCTGAGGCCGGTGCTCGGCACGAGCAGGAGGCAACCTGTCAGTGGGTCTTTGAGGAGCGATCCTCGAATCTTGGATGGGTGGGGAGTGCCTGTCTGCAGGCACTGGCGCTGGCATGCTGTGGCGCTTTGCAAGCTGAAGCTGAAAGCCTGTACCCCTGAATGGCCCCATGCCATCCAAACCTCTTGAAATGCGCCTGGAAATGGGGCAACGAAACGCTTTTCAAATCTTTTTGGAGTTTTGCAAAATAGCATGCTCAGTGTTTTGTCCTCACTGTGTCCTGAAGCCTTTGGTCTTTTTGATCAAACATCTACAAACAAATCAAGCAACGGTCAAACGGGCTGTGGTGGTGTTTCGAGCCTGCCCATACATGCTGTGAGAGGATGTGTTTCAACAATTCCACAAAACACATGGAGCGTCGTTGTGTGTTGACAAAGCCCGAACAATGTTGATGGCGATGTCCTGGGTTTAATGGAGATTGGGTTCTACATTGCAATGTCCATGGTGCAAAGGCACGCGAGATACTTGCACGCAACAAAATGCCGTGGCCTCCCATTCGTTTCCAATGTTTCCTGGTGAACTGACCTTGCTCCCGGTGTTTGTGGGAGGGAGGCTGCCCCTGCCAGGTCATCTAATGGACAGGGTGTACATTTCAGTTCAATCTTGGGTTTTTTGTCGACGGCAATATGCCCGGACTTTGCAACCTTTCTTACTCACTGATGCAGAAATTCAACAGTCGATTCCTCAAAACATGACATGTTGATACTCCTTATCTTTGTCCGGCCAACGGGATGGAACCTTGAAGCTGGAGAGCATTGAGGGGCGAAAGCTGGTCGCAAAGGGAATTGCATGGGCAATCTGCTCAACCCCTCGGACATGTCCAATTTTTCTGAGAGCTTGGAGCACACAAACTCCGCAAAGCTTTGGCAACGGGCATTGTTGAAGCACAACTATGGGCGCCATACTGTCTAGCCGCCACTGTCTCCGCTGCATTGGCTTACAACTGCTGATGCTCCAACATGCAAAGCTGTGACCTTAAGATTTCGGCAGCTCAGTAGATCAAACTGTGCTCTTTCAACCTCCTCTCAACTAGAACTGAAGTGGACTGGGCTGATGGCAGCGATTTTCCAACCTTAATCAAACCCTGCATGAATCCTGATGATCTCTTGTTCGTTTTGGTTTCTTTCGCGTTTGTCAACTAATTCAACTAGAGAGATTCTCAGGGTCTTACCCAGTTCAGACTTCGATCTTTAATCTTTCGATTCAGCGGTTCTGCCTCAACCAATTTGAACTCAACCCCACACTTGGCATCTAAGTCAACTCAACTGCACTTTTCCATCCTGCAGGGCTCAGACCAAGAACTCCACGAACATCACACAAGAAACCCAAAGGAGAAGCAAGTAGAACCAAAAGACCTCACCAAATTGATCTCGTCCCGATCAAGACCACCCATGAACATTCGGACAAATGACTGGCGCCTCGGGTGTCCATGGAAGGCCCTGCCACAGACCTGGTGCCGCAAGAATTGACTATGGCCAGTTGAGAAATCTGGAGAGAGAGAGAGAGAGAGAACGAGCCTTGAGCTCCTGGTGCTCGTGTCCACAAAAAGAAGTCATGCCTCAAGCTAGCAAATGGTTTATGCGGTCATCAATGGAGCATGGTTGTGATTGTGGTAGGGGCGGCCCCATGCGGCCCCAATCCCCACTGAAGAGCCAGCAAGATGAAGGCACTTTTACATCACCAATGGCTCCAGCATTTCAAAACTAGAAGACGATTCAAACATCAAGTCGACCAGCAAATCAAGTGAGCTCTTAGCAATTGGCTTTTGCCTCATTGGGCGCCAACACTCTCATCCATCAGTCAGTCTGGAACAAAGGCACTGAGTCCAAGTGCCCTCGATGCGAGTTGCACAGTGCGACCTCACGCGTGGGATTTCCATCATAGTTGTCATCATCATCAAAATCTGCCTCGACAATACGGTTTCTCGAGAGACAGCCAGCTGCATATGTCTCCGGTGGGTACGTTGGAACAACGACACCCAAGGAACCATAGACGCCCCCAAAAATAACTCGGGTGCACTCCAAGCATTGAATGCTGCTGTCTGGGTTGATGCTGCGGCAAGTGGCCTTGTCTTCTGAATCAAAGTGCCGATGCTTCAGGAATTTTTCAAAGCCGCTGCTTGTGTCGCTGCGGAAAAGCCAAACCTCCTGGGAATTACTTTGGCCATGAGGTGCCTGCAGGAAACACTCCGTCCACGAGGGCTCAGACATAGCTGTTGGGATCACTGGAGGAGGAGTTGCAGCGACCGGTCCGCAAGCATGTAGCCTCGTGCAGTTGAGGCGGCAAGGCTGTAGCACACAAAAGCCTACATGCAGCCCGAGAAGAAAACTGATAAACCTCACCGCAACCCACCAAGGACCTTTTTGATTTTTCATGCCGCTTGAGCCGCTGCTTCCCGGACGTTTGATGCAGCACTATCCCTCCCCGTGATGGATTTCCCTGGTTGCAAACTCGGTCACCCACAAGGGCATTTGCAGCAAATAGACCTCCAAGGTGTATCGCCCGAGGCTCACCTATGGCTTTTGAATTGGCCGCACGGGGCGCCAGTGACTGTTTCGCATCTCTCAGCTGCCAGCCAGGGTCTTGTGGGACAGCAAACTGGCTGTCAAAGATCCTCCACTCTGGGATGCTGTGCCTCTCAACTTGTCTTTGGTCAATTTGTTTAAGATGGTCAACTAAGGTTTGATGAACCGTTCATGGTCGACAAGTCAACTAAGTCAACTCAACGTGTCAGCATGACAATATAGAAAAGTGCACAGGAAGGGCGCGGAGAGTCGAGCAAACCTGAAGCGCAAGAAACTTCACACAACAGCAATCACAGAATTAGCTTGGCAATTATTGGCAAAGGCTGAAACAGCTGCTCCCACGCGACGTAGTGACCGGGCCTTCAGAATACTTAGACTTAGCAAAAAACCATCAAGTTGGAACCGCCTCAACAAATTGTAGACTGTCAAATTTGATATCACATTCACAAAATGGAACAAGTCTTGGCCTCCACTGATCAGGACCGGCCCAATCCTCTGGTGTTGTTGGAACTGGAACCTGGCAAATTCACATTGATTTCCATCTGTCTTAGGGGCATTCTTCAAAAGTTCATAGAACTCCACGCGTTTCCTGTTCGTAGCTGTGGGCTGAGCAGCCCACAACCATGCAGGCACAAACAAGGACGACAATTGCAATGTCACCGATCCATCCAACCTGAGCTGTCTCACATGCCTCAATTTGTGAAAGTTGAGCGAGTTGAAGCTCTCAATTTGGCAACTTGATGCCAGCCCAACCTCTGCACGAGGTGGATTGTGGTGGACCTTGGTTGTTGACGCCTCAAAAGTTGTCCTGTCACAACTATTTTGTGCTAAAGACTATGTTGCCGAGGAAAACGCGATAGATGCAATGCAGCAACCCAACCTCACAGACAAGGAAGTGGTACTACACAACAAAAGTACTGACAGGCTTCGCCCACCGGCGTTGCCCGTGGGGGGACTACGTGCATGCGGAGGCTCCTCTTTGGTGACATATTCATGACCACTTTCGACCGTCGAAACGGTGAAGAGAACTGCCGATCTCCTGATATTGGAAGAAACCATATAAGTCCAGGTGGTGCTAGATGGGTCGGCCGCAAACCGACGTTTTGAACATCACCGGAGCTTACGATTTTCTTCAAACAACGCCAAAAACACAGGGAACATGATAAAAACATGCTACGGTAAAGCTTTATCTCCAGAGAAGGAAGTATGCTACGAGGAGAGGAAGTTTTGAGGTAGCAGTTGTGTCGAACACCATTGGCATCACCAGAATACGAGCAGCGCTGTTCATAAACTACATACACGTTGCAAAAACATTGTAATTTACAGTGTTTTCTGCTTAGTCGTGCGCCAAAGAATTTGTATCTTTCCTGCCGAGGCTCTGCTGATGCTAATGATGCCCGACCAACATTTCTCCTCTAAGCTGGTATCCATTTTCAATGCTTTATTTTCCAAGAAGTTTGGAAACTACCTTTTCATCAGTGGCAGTTTTTGATCATTTTCCCTCAGTGTTTGACGTCTTTTGATGAATCCACATGAGCCTGGGTGATGCTAGAAATGGGGGTCGGCGGCATCGCGCGCGTCTCCATATAGCAATCCGGGCGCCGGCCACGCGCACGTTCCCTTGCCGGAGGCCTTCGGTTGGTAACCGAAGGTTATATACGCTCGCCGCCCCTGCCGCCGACCCCCTCCGCCCGACCCCCGCCCGAATCCGCCCGACAAATGTATATGTAATGTATATGTCTCTTGCGCTGGATGTTCGAAAAATGTTCAAAAACATCGTTTTTTACAGTGTTTCGTGGCCTTCGGCGTCCACGACAGGGTGCCCGTGGTGTCAGTTATGCGTGCCGCGCGGACAGGCTTAATCGACATTTCGTGGGTGTCGGGCACGTGCGAAGAGCAAAGGCGGAACATGTGCTCCAAGATGATCTGACAGAGGCCTTCAAGAGGACTTAACATAGGTCTCAGATATGGCCCACATAGCCCCAAGATGGGCGAAGATTGCCTCAAGATGTGGCCCGAAGTCCCGGCCCCCGTCGTAAACGAGGGTGGGAGAGCGATGCTCCCCCACAACCTGATAGCAGGGATAGGGAAAGAGACAGGGACAGCTACCGACAGATACCGCGACGGAGACAGAGGCAAAGGAGAGGGGAGAGAGAAAAACAGCGAGAGACGGAAAGAAAGTGAAAGACAGAGACACGAAAAAGAGAGAGAGAGAAAGAGAGATACCAGGACGAAGACAGAGACAGATACAGACAAAGAGAGGAAAGGGAGAGAGAGAATGTAACAGACAAAGCAAGAGCGACAGAGAAGAGAAAGTGCCGTGCCCTACACACACCCTCTTTATGCGGCTTTTTTGGATCTTAAGGTTGGGTTCTCTGTCTCTCTCTTTCTCTTTTTTTGAGCCTTGGTGGGGTCTATACTGACCAAAGTTTGGCCATCTGGTGCGCATCTTAGCACTAGGTTGGGCCAAGTTGGGCCCATGTGGTGTATGTTGAGCACATCTTAAACCCATGTTGAAACTATGTTACACCTATGTTAGCATATGTTGGCATATGTTCTCCTGGGTTGGGCCTATGTTGCCGCACGTTGGCCCCATGTTGCAAACGAGGCACCGGCCCTGCACATATCCCACACCCAAATAGGCCGGCGCCCGGCTGTCAGGCGTAAGCCTCTTAAATCTATGCTTGATATGGTCATTGGTACGGCATCGCCGGATTAATGTATGTAGTGTCAGCCGCTGACCCCACTCTTCTTGGATTAGGTTTGCTGAAACATGTTGAAGCTGTGCTATTGTAGAGCTTCGATGCCGGTTGAGCGCGTGTTCGTTATCGTGTTCAGTTTCTGATTTTTTTAGTATTTTTTTCGGCTGTCCGTTGCCTTTGTACTTCTTGCTTTGTTATTAAGTTGTTGTTCCTTTCGAATGCGTCGCGCGCGCGCGCGCGCAAAAAGAGACCAGGCAAAATCAGTCTGGTGGTGGAGAGGCCTTTTTAAATAACACAAAAAATAGAAAACATGGTAAATATCAATGCTTTTTGCTGCTTGAGGCTTCAAATGTGCCCCAAAACCACGCTATTTGCATAGTTTTTTGTGCTTTTACGCCAGGAAACCACGTAAATACCGATGCTCTTTTGAGCTATCGAGTGCTCAAAGCCACGGTATTTACGAGGATTTCTCGAAAAACACGATATTTTCAGCATTTCGCGCACCACGCTCCAAAACAGTCGATATTTACGCCGTTTTTGCAACGCTGCGACATGTCTTTTTTATATCGACATTTGTGAACGCATTGTAATTTACAGTGTTTTGCGCCTGGGCTCAAACCGAAAAAAGGCTTCAAAACTGTCCCTGTAAGGCCTAAATCCCATTTTTTTGTCCAACTTACCTGTATTTTTTGATGACTTTTTCGACATCCCAAAGTCCCCCAAAAAGGCCTCTCCCCCACCAGGCTCAAGGATTTTGCTACATTTCTCGTTTTGCCGTTTTTGGAATGGCTCCAGGAGCAAAGACGGCTCCAAACACACGCGAGAGCGCAATTTTTTAATTTCAATTTCACAAAACACCGTAAGGGGGGGTCCCGGCATCGGGAGCACCCCCCAGTAGCCCGTAGCTAAGGCTAGAGGCGATCAGCTACGCCATACGGCATCGCCGGATTTCATCTTGGCGCTGTTGTTTTCCTTCCAACTAGCCTTAAACTTTCTCTTCTGACCTTTTAGTGCAATGGCTGAAACTAGCAGCTGTCAAATCAAAAGGAATCTTGGTGCCGGACATGAAGTCTGGCATCAACGCTGGTGGCCAAAACCAAGTGAAAATAAGCTGATTCCATTTCAACCAACTTCTCTGCCAAAACCTGCGCCAATGTTCTTGCACCCACAACTTCACAACAATGCATGTGCTCTGGGGAGCCAGCAGGATACAAAGCCTTGGAAATGGCGGACTCATGCTCTGGCCGCTGCTGGCCCGAGGGCCAACTCATGTACAGCTGTAGGCAAGCAGTTGTGATGCGATCTGCATGTATGATTGTGTGGCAGTGTGTCCCTTCCTTCTTTGCGCTGCAGGGGCAGGCAAACGAAAATATGGACGCCGCGGTCACACACCAAAGACATCCAAGAAGATCGCCAGGAGAGAACCATAGACGCACTCATCACTGGAGGCACTATTCACTATTACTAACAAAAACATGTTTTGCACAAACACAAAATTGTCAAAGCAACTTGTCCACCACCGTTGCAATTGAGATAATTGAGGATGTCGGGTCAGGGCAATCATGTTGTAGTGTTCTCTGGCAAAGTTCTCTACCAATATATAGACATGGCTAAAAAACATAGTCCATACAAAAAGCACCTGGCAAACATAAGATCGAGATAGAACAGGAAACAACAATAACATAAATATATATTGTAGCCTTAACATTTTATGCTTTGAGATGATATGCAAATCCACAGCGCGCACTTTTCCTGCACTTGCACTAATGCTGTTTAGTTTAAGGCTTAAGGAAAAACGTAGGTGCCAGGAGATGGTCTTACTGCTAGCCCCAGAAGAGCGCATAAACATGCATAAACAGCAGAACTTATATAGTGATTTTATGTTTTTTTTGTAGGATCTCCTGGTGTCCTTCCCCATTCTCGGTTGCTCCCAACCTCATTGTGTGAGGTTCTTGATTTATCACACTTCATCACATCACACTC